AGGAAATAGAAAAAAAAAGTATGGCGTATAAAACAGAGAAGAAATGGAAAGTAACAAATGAAAAAAGCGAAATGAGAAAGAATGAAAATGGAAAAATAAATGAAAGAAAAAAGAACAGTTGGATAGCGAAGAATGCAGAAAATTGAATGAATGAGGGAGAACAGAAAACGAATGAAGAAAGAATACAATGGTAGAAACGAAGTGAATGAAAAAGGGAGTAAAAGAAGGTGGAAATAGAGAAGCGGAACGAATGAAAAAAAAAAAAAAAAAAAGAACGGGACAAACAGAAGAGACGAAATCACAAAAGCGAATGAATGAAAGTGAAAAAAGCACGGTCTCACGGAGAAGAGAAAGAATGAAAAGAAATAAAATTAAAATTAAAAGTAAATGAAATTAAGCGAATAGAAAAGAATGAGAAAAGAAGGAAGGAAAGAAGAAGAACAAGGAAGAACGAATAGAGGTAAGAAAGAAGAAACAAGCAAATTAAAGGCTACGTGAATAGAGAGCAATAGAAAGGAAAATAAGTAAAAGAAAGAGAAAGAAAAAAAGAAACGGCGAAAGAGAAAATAAGGCATGAAAAGTAGCTAATGAAAGAGATAAAGAAAAACGAATAAGCAAAAGAGAAGAAAATGAATGAAAAGGAACGACTGAATCAGACAAAAAGAAAGAAAGAGAGAATAGAATGAATAAAAAGTAGCAAATGAAAGAGATAAAGAAAAACGAATAGGCAAAATGAGACAAAAAGACGCTAATGATATATATATATATATATATATATATATATATATATATATATATCTCGAAATGTAAAAGAACGAAGAGTAAGATTTCAGCGTTCAACACATTAATTTAAAGCAGGGCTCAATACAAAAGTAGAGCAATAAATATTTATTTTTTATGCACTAAAAGCTTTAGTAGCATCGTGATTTCCCACCTGATGAAACATTAAAAAAATTTAACCTTGAAACAAGATGTACAGATTTGTAGTGGGTATGTATATGTTCTAATGTAACTGCATAATATATATATATATATATATATATATATATATATATATATATATATATATATATATAAAGTTTTCGTGTGACGCATTTCGCCCTTTAGGACTTAATCGAACTAAGTTTATGCTTATGTAAATATAAACTTCTGTCTATATAAATATAAATTTATATATAAACTTTTATGTAAACATAAATTTAGTCGGACGGATTCCTAAAGGACTACACAGATGCTAATGTAATATATATTTTGGAAACATTTAATTTTTTTATTAATTTTTTTTACTTATTTTAGTTTTTCATTTTTTATTATTAATATTATTTTTTAATTTTAAAAGTTTTTAAAAATCTTTTGTTATTAATATTATTTCTTTTTTATTATTTTTAATTTGATTCCATTTCTTTAAAATATTCGGTCTGAAGAGATGAATGTAACAATATTCTTGAAATAAATTATAATTGATATGATATTTAACATTATATTTCTCTGTAACTTACATTGAGAACTCATTGGATTAAATTCCTTCTTGGAATAATCCCTACCTACTTGAGCTTTCTAGGGAAAGGGGGTTTTAAAAACAGCGGCTCCTACTGCTATTAAGCATTAATCTTCAAAAATGAATTGAGTTCTACGAGCCGTTAAATCAATCGGGTTTCGATCCTGGCTTGAAGCAATCGGTCGTCTAGCGACACTGACGAGCTGTGATTCTGCGATACAATCTGTCTGTGGATGATATATATATATATATATATATATATATATATATATATATATATATATATATATATATATATATCGGACTAATTTTGTTATGTTGATAGGACTACACATGCGCACGGTAGAGAGGTGCTGGGAATTTTAGATTCATCTAGAGTCTTTTTTCTTTTACCATTCATCACTTTTGTAAGTAGATGTTCCACACTGTTATATTAGAAGATCTCCCAGGAATGGTGAAAATTTGTAAGAGTCAGAACGCAAATTTACTGCAGATGACCTTGCGATTAAAGCATTCTCTAGGCATTTACGTCATAGTGAATTCTTTTCTCCTTTGACCATGGTAGCATTTTTTATGTTAAACTTGTGGTCAGTCTCGTTCGATGAAGTCCTGAAGTTTTTGTTGATCACTGCAGTAACCAGGTATTGTTAACAAAACATGAGTAATTGAGTTAAAGGGCCATAACTGAGACATCTGGAAGAGACATGGCATGTGGAACTAGAACAATCTACTCCGGTGGACAAAATAAAGAGAATTCCAGTCAACTGAAGAAGGCCGTTCACACAATGTAAATAGTGTAAATAATTACAATACCGCATCTCAGAAATACACACACACACACACATATATATATATATATATATAATATATATATAATTTCACACGTACACGCTTACGTGTAAACGCGCAGTCGGACGTTTGAGCGTGCCCACGCACACACACACACATACACATACGTATACACACACACATACACATACGTATACACACACATACACACACACCATGAAAGCAAAAAAAAAAATCAACCCTGCACCAATGAAAAGTGCATATATAAATGAAAACAGAGAAATAGAAACAGACAAGCTTTATATGTTTATTAATGATATATATATATATATATATATATATATATATATATATATATATATATGGTGACATCATTATGTGCATTTTGGCTTCAAATTCTGGCTGAGGTAGCTGCATTTGTAAACATACAACGAAACCCAATCTCAGCCCTTCACCGATGGAACAGTGAATTTCCACGTTGCCACTCCATCCTTGATCGCGTCGGTGATCACATAAGCTGGGAAAGGGCCCGATTAATGTCAACAAAGAAACAGACTGTGAAAATAAATGCCACGCCAAGAAAGGTAAACAAGAACCATATTTTCAATACATTTCGTTGTTCATTTCAGAGATTTCTTGCACCGTCTGGGTAAGTAGGTATCTGACACTTCTGACAAACGGAGCAGTTTTTTTCCTCTCGACCTGCGAGAAATCTGACATTATTCTACCAATTCTTTTCTTATCACGACTGGCGACTCACTCACCACGGACAATGTGTGCCTCATAAAGATAAAGTGTGTGGCTGCTTTTGAAGATCCCATTTCGCAGACACGAAGCGCTTAAAATTGGTATAAAATCCCAAACTGTCGCCTCCTATGTGGGTGTCACAATCATAGTGCCACACGTTCAATTCTTCACAAATATATTTGGGAAAAATATGAATATATTCTGTTTCTCTAGCAAATCTAGGTTAAACAGCAGGGTTGGCAGTTATTTTAGGTAACTCTAAATTCAAAACCGTTTGTGTGCGGGGCAGCCAACCCCAATCTGTAAAAATCTTTTGTCTACAGAAACAAGAGAAACAACATTAGTGTAGTGAGGCTGTGGCCCTATAATCCACAAGGTGTGAGAAGGGATTGTCTATCATCAAATAGAAAATGAAGAAAAGAATAAAGTATTTGTAGAAAAGGAAGAAAGAAAGTCAATATTAGAAGAATAAAAGAAACTAAACAGTACAAGAAGAAAAATAGGATGTAAAGAGTGTAGGAGTAATAGTGCCAGTACATGACTGACGAGGCAGATATTTTCTCGCAATAGGTTGCTATTTCTTTTCTGGTAGACCAGTTATCATACAAGAGTATAGAACCCGTTTTGTCCTGCTATTTACACATAGCTTAGATGAAGAGGATTCACACCTTTCCCAAGGGTATTAGCACGTAAGTGAATCTAATTTGAACTCGGCTCTTCGATTCCTCAATCCGAGCCGCTATCCATAACTCCACCGTGCCTGATCAGCAGCAGCAGAAATAGAAAATAAATTGTAGTAGGAAAAAAGGAAAGAAAAAGTAAAAAAAGGAAAGAAAAAGGAAAAAAAGAAGACATGCGCAAACGCATCATAATAGCATCATTAACACTAAAACCAACAACTGGCGATTAAAATTCCTTTGAAGACATTCATTCCGTTTCTATTCTTTCTCAGCATCTTCTTTTTTTTTACTTTTATATTTTTCCTTTTATTTTAACTGAGCGTATTTATAAAGTTATAAATACATCCACACAATACTTGTTTTCCCAACTTTTATTTATTTTTTATTATTTTGTGACGAATATTTAAGGGCTTCTTTCTTTGTCTATTTCCCATTCATTTATCAACACTTTTCTCTTCACTCAACGATTTACCACGTATTACCTTTATGATGATTTACTAACTTTAATACAGCAAACATAGTCACCAGGAAGACTGTGCAGCAACAATCTTTTCAGTAAAAAGACCTTGCCTGCCTTGAAAACCAGCATTCGAATTTCTGGTTTTTAACCTGGGTTCAAACAATTATTATCATTGGTAGGAAATACACAAGTATATAAATCACGAATATGAACGATGAAATATTTACTAAGACTTATCTAAGTCGGACACAAGGTGAAAAAGAATGGGACACGCTGTAAAATCAAACTGATTGCAGTAGCATTGGTATGCGATATGCCCAAGTTAACCAAGTTTAAAATTCACATTTCCTTTCTTATATATATATATATATATATATATATATAGTGAGTGTTAGATCAATTTTGAAATGGGATTTTTTAATCCGACATTATTTCTTATAAAGGTAAATGTTATTTTTCGTGGCTACACGTTTTCAAGTTGATCCGTTTTTATGAAACAGTGAAATTAACGTCAACTAACGTAAATCGAGAAGTCCTACTGAAGACAAATTTCTCTCCCACCAGGAATTGAACCCGTATTCCTCCTTTTCATCAGGAAAACCACTCCAATAGCCGAAGCGTGCCGTTACCAATTAGGCCACGGGCAACCGTCTTCATAAGGAAATACTACGTTCAGTAGCATACTCTTCAAACTTTGATGGTTTGAAGAGTCTCGTTGTTTCGATGTTTGATATTATCTTTCAGCTTATCTATGTATCTAAAAAAAGGACTTTCTATGTTACTCATCGCTGCTTGAAGTTGGTAATAAGAATTTTCAGCACTCTTTTCATCATTCTTCTTAACAACATGATCAGCCCATCTTAATTGAGGCTGTATCAAGAAAGCTGCTATGCTTTTTATATCACATTTATCAAACAACTGTTACTTTGAGACATTTTCTTTCTATATGAAACCACAGGTATTTCTAAGACATCTCGTTTGATAAGTATCTTTCTGTATGATATTCTTTCTATACGGTGTCCATGATTCGGACCCATACATCAAGGATGGTATTACAACTGCACGGTACACTATACAGATAAATATTTATTTAAAAATTATAACATAACTAAGTTATAACATCACTATAAAAATATTATTTAAATATAATTAGTTATCCTGATTAATCTAATATTAATTTTAAAGCATTAATAAATTTTATCTTCGGTCCGTTATTTGAATTACCATATACTTGTCATTTCATATACTTGTAATTTCATTTCGTAATTACATCTTACGTAAAAAATATTCCCCCTAGTGGGGGTAGTGGTTGGTTTTGAATTCTTTAAAATCTTTTTTATTTTACAATCAACACCATCACTTGAAAAGACACCAGAAATGTTGAAACAAAATGACTCTTTTTGTAGTGATATTATAGCATACTTATGTTATAATTTTCAAATAAATATTATACACTCTACTTTGTATTGAGCACTCTCTTTAAAAGTAATGTTTAATACTTATGTTATAATTTTCAAATAAATATTATACACTCTACTTTGTATTGAGCACTCTCTTTAAAAGTAATGTTTTTGGTTATTGGAATTTTATTCCATCTATACTAACCTTGTATTCGGGTATATGCATAAATATTAAAATAAAGAATGAAGAGCAGTATAGTTGTCTCTTGCCAAGATTCGCCTGTTTTGGAAGGAGTTACTACACCATATTAGTTATGCCCTTTATTCAAGTTGCAAATATCTAACAAGTGCGTTGTCTATTGTATTTACGATTATGATCACTGAACAAAACTCAACAGACTTTAGTGAATGTTATTACTGTTATTTTATTATCAGGTATTAGCGTTAACCTTTCTTCGTACATTCAGAGATGCAACTGATACAGATAGACTTCCAGCAAACTAAGGTGCCTCGGTGACTTTTCATCAAAACATAGCGTCGTAGAAAATTTAGGTATAGGCATACAACTAAACTCATTACGAAGCTCCATGAATAACAACTTTAAAAATGATGTTAGTTGTGATCTAGCCTATATATTCTAAGCAATCTAACCAAAGCAAGTTATTTTCGACCACAAAGACACTAGTATTTATAAAATTATTTTCTGTACCCTTATTCTGTTATCTATTCTCCTACTATTTAATTTCAGTAAGAAATAGCAAATAACCATGAACTAAATCAATACTAAGAAAAGAGCTACCAAGTTCATAGTAATTGTAGGCTTTTCCCCTAAATATTCTTTGATAATAGTTGCATATTATATGCTATTGCGTATTATATAACACTAAGTACAGTAATTGTTTTTTTTATTTTCATTTCTTGAATTGACCTGTTAGCAGGACTAGAATAAGTCGACTGCACCCCCTACAGAGAGATAATATAAATACCTGACTGCTCATTTAGAGTACACTCGTCTGTTAGGGTGGCTACCTAATCCATATTGCAGACATCTGCTCAGGCACATTTGTATATCTACAACGACTACAGAGGTAACCTGTAATTTATACTGTAACTATCCTGAGCAGAACCTGGAAGAGATCGCATAATTTGGTGCAGTTTTGAGAAGGCCAGTACTACTAACCAACAACATTTTGTGAACTGCACTGTAATTGTATTCACAATATCCTTTCATTTTCTCTTCACTTTCATTCTTCCTCCATTCATTTCTTGTCAATCACTATTTTTCCTTGTCAGTTGTTCCCTCTACAATTCTTTCTTTCTTTCTTTCTTTCTTTCTTTCTTGCTTTTTTTCTTTCTTTCTTTTACTTTGTCCTGCTCCTGTCATCATCTATATAATAATAAAATTCTAAATGATACCTAATTCCCCAACTAATCTAGGAGTATATTGTACATTGAATCTCTGCCGAGCGCAGTTTCAAATTTTAATAAAATTAGACAAGATAAAATTGAACTAAGATCGTCTTTTTCTGTTTTTACGACATTTTTAATTGAGAATTCAGTATTTGTTCTCAATACACATTCTTATATCTATCCATGTTCTTCATGTGGCTTTATATAACTTAATCAGTATGGCTGAAAAATTGTGCCACATGACTTGATGGTAAATAAATAGATGCACACTGGTTTGTTGCAGTTACGTATTTTAAAAAACATCTGAGGAAGAAAGAAGTATATATTATAAAAGTATAATTAGTATTAATTTGTTATTGCGTTTGATCTAAATAATATTGTACAATGTAAGTAATAGTAATTATTAAAATAACTTTTATTGCAAATACAAATTAAAATATTTATAATCTAAATATATATAAAGTTGTAACCTCTGTCTGTCTGTTTGTTATCGAACTCCTCCGAGGGTTTTGAAGATAGACCCGCATAACTATATATATTCTGAAACTACATTGCCCAGTGTACTTGGATAAGTATATTTTATTTTGATCAAAGGGTGTCCCGGGGTGGGGGTGGGGGGTGGCACTTCCCAACTGGATTTTTTTCCTTTTGATTTAAATTAAATTTAAATTTGAACAAGAGAATGATTCCTATCCAAAATATAGCAGGAGAAAACCAGAAGATGGAGGTCACTTCGGCAACATCAAGATGAGACGTCAAGTTGGGCAAGAAGTTGGGTAGTGTCTTACAATACATATTTGTTGCGACAATACAACTGTCATATCAATTTTGAAATCTGCTCATCAATTCATTCAATTACGTATTGCATGAAATACATATCAAAGAGGTGCGATCAAGCTATTTTTGCAGAAACGCCGCACTTAATTTTTTTCCCTTTGATTTAAATTAAATTTGAACAAGGGAATGACTCCTATTCAAAATATAAAAGGAAAAAGCCAGAAGATGGAAGTCACATCAGCAAGATCATTGAGTAATATGGAAATGCTTCATTTTTCTCCACAAATTATAATAAGGATTTAAAATCAATCATCATTTTCTTACAAAAAACTGTGACACACACCAAGGCGAGGGTAATTCGGATAGTTAATAAGAAAATGGATAATATTGTTACCTCATCATTTTGTATTATGAACTGCTTTTAAAAGAAACCCATCGGATTTCTATAATTAGGTCTAGTAAATGCTATTTTCTTTTCTCATTTCTCATTGATGATTTTCTATATATTATGGAACCAATATAATCTTCTTCAGATTTAGACACAAACGTTATTGAAAATTGAGTTTCCATTTCCCTTATATTATTTGAATCTCGACTCGTTTTACTTTTCAACCATTTCTTTGTGCAATTCCACTGCATGTTGGTGAACTTCACCACTCATCGAATCAAATCAATTCCTTTTGACATGTCACTGAATACAAGAACAATAATTCACTTTTAAACGCATGTTACTGATAAAACAAAATATTACCAAATTATTTTTCTTTTGACTTAACAGAAATTAACCAAACAAAGTTGGAGGAAACCACAAATCCTTAGGTGTAAACCACAAATCTTTTAATATCTCGAATTTCTTTGTTTTCTTATCTCGAATCATTTATTTTCTTTGTTCTAAGTGATCTACTTTAGACTATCACGCGTCTTTATAAAATAGTGAATTAGAGTTGTTCAGAAAATTGTGCCAAGGAAAGTGACAACCTGTTTTGGATAACGAAAATTTTCGGGTTTTATTCTTTCTCTGACTTGATCAAAGATGCATACATTTATTTATTCTTAGTGGCATATCTTCAGTGGTTGACGATGACATCATACGTAATATTTTGATGGTAGATCTTTCTTCAGCTACTTCAAATATAACCAATA